ATAACTAGAAATACGCACACCCAGGTCATTTAGAAACACGCCCAAGATCTAAAATCCTAGCTAAGACCCTGCATACTTGTTGATACTATAATAATACACATCATAATTATATAAACCTGTGTTCACGATATGTGGTCGCGGTTATATAAAAAAGTTACGTAGTTTAGTAGTTACTGTTTACTATAGGTATAACCGCGAACGTTTTGGGTTGTTTTCCATTTGCAACAACAAAACGATTAGTTAAAGTGCAGTCATCTTTTTATCTTTAGCCAATGGATGCGAATACGATTATGTGGAAGTTTTTGACGGTCCCACAGATAAATCACCTAAACTGGGAAAATACTGTGGTCAAGTAAAGCCTTCTATTAGAACATCAACCGGCCATCAGATGATGATCAGATTTGTTGCTGATGCAACTGTAAAGAGAACGGGATTTCGAATAAAATACTACGGAAAAGGTATAGTAAGTGCTTAATAACAATTTGGGCGGAAAATTTTAAAACGCTTCGATAGCTGCAATTTGAAAAATAGGTACGCTAGGCGTACATGTATCTGCGCAAAGAAATTGCACCATTCCTATGAAAAAAATTTCATGCACAATTATTGAGTAAACATTTATATATTTTTGAAGTGACTATACAGCCGGCAACCGGCTATTTAGTAAACTGCTGGCTATTCACCCGGCTATTTACTTATATAAAATGCTGGCTATATAATAGTCTCCTTCTCAAACGCTCTTTGTGTCGAGGTTTCTCCCCACAAGCGGCTGCTCACCCGAGCACAATCAGATTTAGTGACATAAATATCTAAATAAATTTAGCGACATAAATATCTTAATAAGTCCAAGATCATAACTGCTAACCGTAAAACCTTGAGTCAAATTAACAGTTTCTCGGTTTTTCTTCGGATTTTACTACATCCCGGTGTCCCGGGCGTTCTTTGTCAGTACCCGCGATCACAACTAGTATTATCAGCAGTACATGATGATAATTTTGAGTGTTTCCTGAAATCATGATGTTTGAAAGAAAACATCTTAAAGCCAAATATAAATGATTTAATTGTCGACGTGAATTTATAACATTGTTAAACTGTAACGGTTTGTCGGCATGTTAATCTATATTTCAAGATATTTTTGCTTCTAGTCAGTTTATTTGATCCAGACATATTGCCTTTTTATTTTTTGACAAAACCTACATACAGTTTATGTTTTACCACTAATTTCATAGATTTTATATGAGCTAGTAACATTTGCTGTATAGCAGCCCAAATAAAAAATAACCAAGTGACTAGGCAGACGGGAGTTATTTCGTATTTTGTAGCAATATAAAAACTTTTGTTTGCGGTAACTTTCACCAAGTTTGTCGTTAGCGCATATGGTAAAGGTACGAAAAGTGAAACGCGGTCGGGATCGGTGCTGAATGTTTATTATCTGATTTAGTTTTTTTTCTAATTTTTTTAATTTCTCTTTTTTCTGCCTTTTTTAACTCTTAAAAGTTAGACTGGTTAGGGTTTGGGATCGGTATAAAATCTAAAGTGCTTTAAAAAAGTTTTAATGATCTGTTTTATCTGTTTGAATATTGAGTAGCGAACTCAACCGCTGATAATCCTAATTGTGATTGCGGGCACTGACAAAGAACGCCCGGGATGTAGTAAAATCCTTTCTCTTCACCCTGTAGAAAGCCGCCATCTTTGTTTTTCTGCCTGTTCGCAGGCGTACAAGCCCTAATTAGTCGACCTGAGTGTTTAACGCACGCACACACGCACAACTCGATAGCATACATGAAATTCATTTCACCATAATAGTTAGTGAACATAACAAATCCTACATGTTGATTGGTCAAATTTGAGGTAGTAAGCCGTTAATGTCATAGATATAGGAGATATATGGTTAATATTCACCTACAGGTGAATATAACGAAACCGAAATTTTCAAAATGGCGGCCTGCCGTTTTGTGGAAGTTACTGATAAAGAAATAAGCGAAATTAAAATAAATTCAGTCCCGAACAACCCAAAAGACTTGTACGTGTAAAAATACTGAAACAATTATTCGCGTCAGGCTGGTGATTATCGGGGAATATTCACCTCGACTTCGTCTCGGCGAATATTCCCCGATAATCACCTCGCCTTCGGCGAATAATTGTTAAATATTACTGGAAACGGCCGTGCTCACAACTGAAATTGACGTCATAATTGACATCATAATATTCACTTTTAGGCAGGGATGCCGGAACCACGGGTGCAGCGGGTGCAAGTTGCCTTTTGCATTTTCAACTTTGTGGGTGCAGTGCGGGTGCAGACTACATGCATGGGTGTAACGGGTGCACAAAACTTTTACAACAGACAGAATTAAACGTCGTTCGAGGATGTGTGTGAGGGTGTTCCACCCCCCAGTCGTCAGGAATTCGGCAAAATTGTTATCCATTTGGCGAAAGGTGAAACGGAAAGCATTACTTATGGATTTTTGGCGAGAAATTACGGAGGAATTGTGCCTAATTATTGTGTTCGTTCCGAAAACATTTGGTGACGGGGAGGGAGGTTGACACGAATGTAGGATCATGACGCCCTTTCATTTTCATTGGTGCCTTTTATTAAGGAGTATGCCCTCTTGTTAACCAATTGCACCCCTTGCCCTCAGCAACTTCCGGCATCCCTACTTTTAGGCTTAACTTTCCTCGCTTCAATTATATTTGAAGCTGAGTTATATGTAGAGCTCTAAGTTTTTAGAAAGAAATCGAAGTTGTTTGAGTTGCCAGTTAACCTAGGTGCAATTGCGAAGCTTTCGAAAATAAAACACCTCCTCCCTCAAACCTGCCTGCTATTGACTCATGTTGGAAGGATACTCTGGAACTGAGCTCTCGAAAAATATTAACTAACAAGCTAGCTAGACAACCGTAGGTAACTGCAAGTGGTGTCAAATATTTACAACTATAGCTTAAGACACTCCGTCCACTCTCTCAAGATATCTTCATCAAACCTTTTTAAAAGCTGTGTTGTTGTAATGTACTCAGGTGAATATGATGCTTGTGATGTTACTCTGAGTGTATATCCGGTGTGGATATACACTCAGAGTAACATCACAAGCATCTTTTTAAAAGCATTTAATGCATTTCTCTAATTAATGTTAAAACATCGATTTAGTGTGTATTGTGCATGACATGAGAGCATTTCTTTTGTTGGTATTTAGGAATTTCCACGAGTGATATATGTAACAGACCAAAGTACACCGGTGATTGTCGGGCTGGTTTTGATCGATGGTTCTACAATACTATTACCAGGAGATGTGAAACTTTCATTTATGGTGGTTGTAACTCGAATGGAAACAATTTCGAAACTGAAGCAGAATGTGCCAGACAATGTCAAGGTTGGTTTTTACTATAGCTTATTGTTCAATGCTTAGTTACGTCTTAGTTTTCTGCCGTATGTACCATGCAGGCATGAATTAAATACATACTATATGAATTACTTATATGGAATAATAATCTGATCAGTATGATTGGCTGGTTAGTATATATAGTAGGATGGTTTCGAGTGCAATTTGGATACAACATGCACCAGTGAGTTTTTCAAAGACCAATCACAGTCGTGCAATATTTTTATGTATATTATTAACGAAGAAACAGATTATTTTTTCACTTGAATTCTATTTCAACGCTCCATTTTTCATTTCAGGAAGAGCATCAGGTGATTTTAACGAATGTTCGCGAAATAATGGGGGATGTGACCAAGCATGTCATAATACGTTGGGAAGTTACTTCTGTTCCTGTTGGAAAGGATACAGAGTTGCTGCTGATCAACGCACATGTGAAGGTAAGTTTATTATACTATTTTTTATTGACAGCGCATGCGTTTAGGGCCTTTAGGCTCGTGTGCGATTTTCTTCTTCCGATGCATGTGAAAGAGTATGAATGTCCTGAGTATAATTCACACAACATCGAAAAGTTTGTCACGCAAATTTTATCAAATCCTATAAATATCAACATATATAAAGTTGACCAACATGTGTATAGCTCAGTGAACTCGTGAACGTGTTATTACAGTTCACTGGTATAGCTCCATATACTGTAAAATGATTATACTTCATCCACTGACCTACTTTTGTGATTGATCTTTCCAAGTTTCCAACGTTAATTAAAGGGCATAAGACTCGAAAATTGACGTTGCTATTTTTTGTCTAATTTGAAAGATAATTGAAAACTGTAGAGTAACTTCTGTGATGGATTTTTGTTTTCTTGCTTCGTTTTGAAGATATTTTATTTTGTATGATACGCA